GGGCGGGGCGATAAGAGTCGGTGCGGGCTCGGTCTCCGCCTCAGTAGAGCTGGGCGGCCGCGGTCGGGCCCGTGCTGGGGGGGTGGTGGCTGCGGCACCGCCGTCGCTCTTCGGCTGCGTAACTCTCCCCGGCGCCGAGCCGCGGCCCTTCCCTTCCCCTCAGGCCCAGCGGCGGCGATGGGTTCCCGGGCATCCACACTGCTGCGGGATGAGGAGATCGAGGAGATCAAGAAGGAGACGGGCTGTGAGTGCGGCAGCGTGAGGCGAGGCGGGCCGGGAAGTGCTGGGGGAGGGGGGGAGGCTGGGCGCCCGGAGCGGGGCAGCGCCTCGTCCCTCAAGCCGAGGAGGAGGCGCCTCGGCCGGCCGCGCCGCCGGCCGTCTCCTCCCGGCTGCGCGCCGAGCCGTGCCCGGGGCGGCCCGCCCTGGCCGGTGGGGACAGGCGAACGCGACCGCTGCGTTCCCGGCTGGGCAGTGCCTGGCGCCCGGCCGGGACCCCACTGTCCCCGGCGAGCCGGGGCGGACGTGTCTCGTAGGCCTGCGGAAACCTGGGAAAGGCCTCTCGGTTCGCCTCCCCGCCGCCGCCGGTCGCCGCGCAGGAGCGGCCCTGGGGGGACGGCGGCCGCGGCCCGGGGCTGGCAGAAACCCACGGGCAACGCGTCTCCTTCGGGAGTCTGCCGGTCTCCCCCCCCACGCTCGCTTGGGGCTGGCAGCAGCCGCCGGCTGTAAATAAAGCTGCTGGTAGCTGAGGTGCTGCTTGGTCCGGCCCTGTCTCCGGCCGGATAAAGTAATGCCTGCTCGTTAATGCTAAACCCAGCGTTAAGGAGTTTTAGTCCTGGTTTCGGTGGCGTTGGGAGAGCATTATTCAACCTGGACTGTAGTATATAGCTACTTTACCCTATAGTATTTGATCGAGTTGTTCTCCATACGCATGAAGTGCCTTAGAAAAGGTAAAACTCCGTGTTGTTGATTTGGCTGATAGAATGGTTGACTAGCTGAGAATTCTAGTAAATACGGAATGATAGTAAATGGAGGGTGCCCTGCGAACTAGTTGGAGAGGGGAGGTTGTAACATCATAGGTATTACTTTGCTGTTTGCTGCCCCCCCTCCTTCAGGTAAACAAGGTCTTCCCAGATCACATTTTTGTCCTGTTTACGCTTGCTCATCTGTTCTTGCTATGTGAAAATACTTTCCTTGGTTTTCTTTCCAATAGAAATAGTATCGTATATTCATTTGGGGTGATAGTTTATTTGTATCAGGAAAATGAGTGGCTACAGAAAAGGAGTGGAAGAAAATTAAGACAGTACTGGCTAGTGTAATGGACAGCTGAGTGACTTAACATAGTTTCCATGATCCTTTTTCCATCTGTCAGAGAGAACCTTCTACAGGAAGGCTATGGTAAACAAGTAGCAATGTCAAAGTCTGCTTATCCAGCTTCTTTTTTTTAATCACAAAGATCATAGAGTAAAGGTAGCCTCACCTTATTTATAAAGCTGATTCAAAAACCAAACCCCAAACCTGGAATGTTCTTCCAAAAGATTTTACTTGTTTTGTCATGCTGATATTTGATTTATTGTCGGTGGTGTTTTATTCCTAGAATTTTATTTACATGATAGTTAAATACCATTAAGATGGCTGTATGGGCATTCTAAACAATAAAACCACTTGGCTCTAGTTAGCCTCTAAATGCTTTTTTTGTATCTTCAAAGCGGGGAGCTTAAGGTTGTGATCAGTGGGCTTAAGCTTTGTGGCCTGAGTTTAGTTCATTTTCCTGTGTTTTTACTATTCAATTTTATAAGTAATACCACTTTGTTAATCAAGCGTTGCTGATCTGTGACTCATGCTTGCTTGTAAGTCATCACAGTGTGTCTCGTTGACTTTATCAATTTTTTTTCCCCTCCCCCCAGCCTGTAACCACAGTCTAGGAATGTGATTTTCTTCTGCCTTATACTTCTCTAGGTAGGTGGAAAATTCCACCAAGCTCTTAGCACTGTTATACACTTCATATAGGTGCAAATATTTATGCAAGGCACAAGGTGGGGAAAAAAACCCTAGGACGCTGGTTTGTCTGGAACAAAGTTCACAGGGAGAATGCTAAGTTAGTGTTACTGAGTAGAGTATCCTGTGGTTTGTTAGAAACTTGATGCTGATGATACTTTACCTACTAAAGAGTTCGAGAAAGGGTCTTCATAGATGTGGAACAATTTGTCTGTGTTGAACTGATGTTCTGGCTCCTAAGGATTCTTTTTTGGCCTCTCTGCTATGAAACATGATTTCTTCAGTTCATCTGGGATAAGTATGAAGCACTGAACAGAACAGTCAACCAATTCGATTGAGTTCAGCTATGGAATTACACAAGTTTTCTCTTGTTCAGTTTTATGTAGCACAAAACTGAATAGCTAATGATACTAACATGAGTGATAAATCACATGTTAATGTTCTTTAGCTGAACAGATTAAAAAGATACCTTTTAGGGGACTTGAAGCATAACCTTTCAAAAGCCGTACAATGACACTTAATCTCTTGAATGAAATCTAAGTTTGGATTAAAGTTCTATATTAATTTTTTATGTTGTGGTGAAAAACACTTCTTAACCATAGTAAGTTTAGAAACATCTGCAATGGTAATGTTTCCAAGAACTGGGGAATAATGTGTCCACTAAAACCTCTACTTAATGACAGAAAATCTCCATCAGGTTCTCAGTAACAGGTGCTAAGCCTGAAGTTGACAGTCCTAAATTTTATAGATGTATGGAAATTGTTTGCTTTGCATATGAATATTTTGAAATTTGAGTTTGAAAAAACCTTCAAGTAGTCCCGATTGCTTTTGTATTTCAGTAACAACTACAAGAAACAGATGAGAGGTCCATGATGTTGCTTGTCTGCATTCTGTTGCAAGCTTTTGGAAAACCATTGGAATGTAACAGTATTCAAACTATTTGGTTCACACCCTTTGTTCCTCTGCTTTGAAGCAGTCTACCTAAGGAATAATAATAAACTAATGCTCATATCAGAGCTTCAGAGAAAAAATATTTTAGTGGTAACAGGTGATGGATTTTCTGATGGATATTTATATATTTTCTAAGTATATAAATATCATATATTTATATGAGTTGATGCTAATGTTTTAAACAAGAGTTTCAGAATGTCTAATCGCAAAAAACTTTCTCATGATTTAACAGAAGTAAAATGGAGGGTACAGCTCATATTTTAGAGGTCTTGACTTAAATTTTTAGAAGGACCTTAGTAGGATAGCAGTATAGAGAAAATTGTGTTTCAGATAGCTTTAAGCCTTAATCTTTGATTTTAAGAACATATCTTGTTTCTGGTTCTCCTGTGGGAATGTCAAAATCTTTATTTTCCATGAGAGGGCTCTGAAAAGTGTCTAGTGATGCAGCTTTTGTGAGAGATGAAAGACAAAAAGGAAATTATGAAAGAATACAGTGGTGGACCTGAATCATCTTCCTTTCTCTTGTAGCTGTGATATGCTTTTTGTCTAGTATGATGTTAACAAACCCACCTCTTATTCTGTCAATAGCTACATATTATTTATTACATACTAGCTGTTATGGGAGTGTTCCAAAAAGGGAGTTGCTGCTACTAGTTTGGAAATGGTAGCTGAGTAGAATTCTCATCACCCTCTTTCTTTCCAGGGAGGAGTGGGAGTACAGGGCTTCTTATTGGAGATAAGAAGGCTGGTTTTTTTCATCATCAGTTGTTGTTACTGCATAATCATATCTAAATCACTAAATCAAAATGCAGAAATTCAGTCTTTAAAATATTGGTGCCTGCTTTCTATGTGTGTGTTGCTTAACTTGAAATTGAGCAAGCTGCTCAGTCTGATTGTAGAGAAGTTGCCTTAGGTGGAACTGAGCAAATTGCCCAACCCTAAGCAAAGAATGAAAGTTGCCGAGGAGACAAAGAAAAAAAAAGTTGCTGGCAGGTCATCCTAAAGGAGGGAACAGTTGAACCTAAACAAATAGCCTGGAGAAAGAACAAACCTGAAAAAAATTTTTTGCCTTGGTTGTCACAGATCAGACAACAGCTGTGCAACCTGTTCCGAAATAAGTTCTAGAAAGTAACAAAGATATTGTACATGTGCTAGTGAAGGCTTTTAAAACAGTTGAAGCTGAAAATGACACTATGTCCTTGTTTAACATTGTAGAAAATCACACCTTTACTGAGTAAACATTAAAATTCAATTCAGTCTTATTTCATGTATTTATTAATTTCATCAGAAGAGGCTCTGAAAAGCCAATATCTTATGTGGGGCATTCTTTCAATGTTAAAGGAATTGCTGTTCTAGATAGGTTTAACCTGTTCCCATCATGGGCTATTCTGAAGACCTACATGTCTGGTATCTCGGGTTGTCTAATATCTAATACTGTGCAATAAGGTCTGTTCCTATGAGGAATCATTGACATGCTGATTTGTGTTTCTTCCCATTTTTTTTAGTCTCCCACAGTCAAATCACCCGCTTGTACAGTCGCTTCACCAGCCTAGACAAAGGAGAAAATGGCACTCTTAGGTGGGTATTGTCACTGATTCAGCTGTCCTTGCATTGACACATATCTGTAATGGTGGCTTGCTGTTGCAGGATGTCTTGCATGTTTTCCTCATATGGTGAATCAGTGAGGCTATTATAACAGGTTCTTTCATACCTACTGTCTACATGAACATGCAAGTTTGTTGTTTTTTATGAAAGGTCAGGACAAATCTGATTGAACTGAGGTGCTCTAAATACTAATTGGCTTTACTGTAGTGCTGAAGGTTTGTAGCAGTTAATACAAGAAAGGTCAGATTTGATATTCAAGGCCTTATAACACATGTTCAGAAATGTTAAACCACATTTTTAGATTGTTATTTCTTACCTTTCTTTATATGTTGCTTCTAATAATTATTACAAGAATGGTTCCACTATGTCGTCTTCATTCTCGCTTTTATAACATAAAGATCACTTATTTTTGGGAGCATGGGGTCTTAATTGTTTCTGATACCCAGTGTCTTTTAACACTACTTTGATCTGCAAGCCCTTTACTAATCTTAACTTTGCACCTCTTGTTGAACACCCATGTCTATCAGTATGCTCAGAAATAAAAAGAAAGAGCTGGAACCGAGTCTCCATGACTAAACAAATACACATTTTATTCTTCATAGTAGTAGTGCAGGATATTCCAATACTTTTGAAGTGTTTGTCCTCTGTCTACAATTTGAAAACTACAGAAGTGAACTAGTTTCTTATGACTTAATAAATTAAATAAAGATGAGGCTTTAACTTTATCTGCAAAACATTTTTCACTTTGATGGACTGAGTCTGCAGGAAGGAGTATTCTCAACTGAAAGTTAAACTCTATTGGGATGATTGCCTGTTAAAATATGTCTCTGCCTGCTGTCTTTGTTCTCTAGCCTTCCCCACTCTGGTTATTGTCTTGTGTGTTGGTATTGGTTTGCTCTTTATTTACTGAACTAATTATGAATTCTGGTTGTATTAAATTGCTTATTATTCATTTTTGATGTTGCCTACAGATTACAATAATATTATGGAAACATATGACAATAAGACCTGTCCATGACTGCACTAGGGGGGGCAATTTTGTGACTGATGTAGTTGGTCTAAGACCACACTGCCACTGAAGTCTGTTGCTTTTCTGTGTTGATGCTGGTACTCAAGGCTTATCTTAGGAAGGTAACCTACAGCTTTGAAAACTTGCCAAGCAAAACAACAAAAAAGGAATCTGATTACTTTTCAGGTGGATTTTGTTTCCCATTCACCACATAGCCACATATGCCAGAACCAGTGCACAGGGAAGCTGGAGAGAATGCCAGAGAGAGTAGGAAGGGGAAAGGGACCTTGTAGCATAGTATATGGGGTCTGGCTGGGATGGAGTTAATTTTTTTCCTAGCAACTCTATCCCAATCAAACCCATTAAACACAGATTCAGGGATCACCTGGGGTTTTGTGTATGATCTTGCAAAATGTGATTGTAGGATGCACTATAAACCTATAAAAACCTACCTAACTATAAAGCTAGAATTGCTGCTTAGAAGATGAGGGTGACAAGTTGTAAGATACACTGTCTTTGGCAGTACTGTTGGCTTACTGCAGTTTCCTGAAGGAAATATGCAGTTCCTTCTGGTGCCACAAATTGCTGACTTCTCAGTTAACATTTAAGTAACTGGTTGTGGAGTTGTCCTGTAAACAGGACTACTGAGTGATTATTTTTGGTTAAAAATACTCTACCCTTTTGGTTTGTATAGATATTTTTAAGTAGACTCCAGTGATTTGAGCTGTGGCAGTATGTAAATATCTGCACTTGCATAGCTGAAGGGATGACAAAATGGATTGTGGGTGTGGAAGCAATTGGCTTGGGATGGGATGGGCAGGAACTTCTTAAGCCCACTCTGTCACCGAAGCCAATGTATCATATAAATTGTAGCATTGGCTAATTGGCAATTGTGACATACAGATCAGCTGGTAATATTGTAGGTAAAGTTAATATTACTTATGTCTCAAAATTAAGTAATTTGAAGAACAGCCTCCCTCTTCAAACTTTGCATGTGGGTTTAGTCTTCACTGATGAATAAAGGTGATGGCTGCCAGACTAGCACAGTTTGAACCTAGCACACACTCTTCCTTGACTCTTCCCTCCAACTTTAAATTCACCTATTGAGTCCATAAAGTTTATGTAAACTTCAAAGTCACTGTACACAGTTTACGTAAGAGGAGTAATTAATTAAATATGCTATTAATGTCTGTTGCACAAGGCTTAGTTTCATAGTGTTACATATCAGGAGGAGTTTGACTTTCATTGTTGATAATCACGTGGTACTTGGGAAAGGAAGTGAAGTTTGTTTGGAAAATCCCAGCAACTGTGCAAACTGTGATCCATTAACTTGCAGTCTTGGTCTCTAAGCATAGCCTGCTTCCAGATGTGGCTGACTTAGTGGCATTAAAATTTTGAAACCTGTCCTGGCACTGATGATATATGGAGACCATTGAGTTTAAGTAATAGAAAACTACTTCCTCAAAAAAAAAAATGAGGGGAGAGTAAGAACTACAGTTTGGAAGGTCATAAATGTTGGTTTCTGAAATACAGACCAAAGCGAACTTGCTACTTTGAGACCAGCGAGATACCACTTGCTTACTACTGCCAAACAGTCTAGAAGGCATGTCTTCTATTTGTTTCCTGTGAGGAAGAATGATTGTTTCCATAAGGATGAATTATACCTTTGACTTACAAATGAGACATGCCAGAAATCACTCATGTGACTATGATCAGGAAAAGAAGTGTTAGGCAGTTCTTTATGGCATGTAATAAATCTTTAAATGTGTACCACCCTTCTGAAAAAGGGGAAAAGCTGTGTTGTCCTTCTTATCTATGTATTAAAAGTGGGCAAGGTAAAGAGCACTTTGTATAGCAGTTCTGGTAGGTGATGACTAATCTTGGTGGTTAGAGAAGACAGGTAGCTCATTCTCAAATTATAATCCAAAGCTGAAATCTTTCCGAGCCAGATGTTTCTATCCAGTGTACCTATGAGCAGTTTCAAGGTACTTTTTTTTTTTACAGACTTACATAAATGAGATGTAAGAACAGGGTATTGATGGAGACAAAACTTGATATGCCTTGTTTTGGCTTTTTTTTCTTCCTCTTCTCTGTATCCTCTAAATGACTACAGTCATGGTTACTGATTAACTCTTATAACATTTTTCTATACTTTTAAAGAATTGATACTTCTCCTTAGCTTCACTTTTCCTAAACAAAATGAGTAAGCTCCCTCAGACATGTACTATCTGAATGAAACTAGGTTGTAAAAGCCAGGACAAAACTGTTCTTTTGAAAATTCTTTTGTCACCTTTGATGTCAATAGTGTGACATGCTGAGATGCCAAAACAAAAGCTTAGTACCCTTGGATCTCCATAGCTACATCTAAATTCTGAAATCTGAAACATATTTGTTCTGCCTAAATCCTAACTATAGGTTAGGAGGAAACCAGTGTGTATGTTTTGTTCTTTACATTCTGATTTCCAAGATGAGGAAATTGAAGTGTAGGACCAGGACAAGTATGTGCTTGCTTCAGTGAGTCTCCTTGTTGGGCTGGTACTGAAGTGTACACCACACAAGAATACATCTGCTCCAAAATTTATCTACGAGTAAGTAGCTCTAGATAGACACATATAGAGCTATAAAAAGGAGATACTTGTCTAAACTGCCACTTTAACTTTTGCATGGAGCCTCCCACTTACAATAGTTTCTTCTGCGCTGGGGAAATGACAGGTTAAGCACTTCAGAAGTATTTTTTTACTGTATAGCAATTGGTGTAGCCTGGCTATACCAGGAGCGTGGAAGGAAGGGAGGGTAAGTATTCTGAAAGCTGATGCATGAGGACAGTAGACACACTGAGCTATTCGTGCATATTTGGTGCTTATGGAAGCTGTTCACAAAATGGTGTCTCCTGGAGAACTTCAGAAAGCCTCTGGTCCTGAGAAGAGTAACAGGAGCTAGCCAGGCCATCTGTTTGTCAGTGAATTGAATCATCTCAGTCTGGAAAGATGCCAGGCTTGTTCTCATTAGTTCAAACTGATATTGCAAGATTTCAGAGTAAAACGTAAAAGGTAGCTCTCTGAATGTGGAATTCTTTACATTTGCTTAAGGAAATGCAAAGGATTTTTAGCTTTATCTAGAACAGAAAAGACAGGCAGGATATGGGTTTGGATTGGAGAATGATAGGGTACTAGAACAGCTTATACTTCTATCCTCAACCATGCTTTATTCACACTGCTTTCCCCCCCTCCCCTGCCTTGCTTGTCTAATTATCACCTTTACTTTTAGCACATGTCTTGGCCTAATGTTTATAAACCAATTACTCCTCCAATAGTTAAGTGACTTCTAAAATTTGTGCAGACCATGTGTAAGGATTAAGTTAGATGAGGTGGCTGACACAGCTGTGAAAGAGGAGGCTATCCATTCTCTTTCCCTATCACTTTTCCAGGCTGCCAGCACCTCTTTGTCAGTCATGGTGCCGTTAGATTTTTGAAGTTTTTTTTAACTGCTTCAAGTTGCTAATTCAACAGAAAGATAATTGGGAGGATGGAGAGGAGGAGGGTGGGGAGCTTTTTGGGGGATTAGTGAGATATGTTACACCACCAAAAGGTTTGATGAATGACAAAGCTAATGTTAGCAAGGGAAGGGAGCAATGAAACCTTCAGTAGTAGCCTGTTAAATCTGTTTGACCATCTTGCATGATACATCTTATGTCTTTTAATTATTTCCCTTTTTCAAGTAATTTCTTATTACCTATATCCTCTGGACACTTTTCCCTTTTCTCTACAACTTCTGTTTCACATATGGTTTGCTTTCTGTCCATTGTTTTACTTTCCCTCAGCTCTAGATAGCCCTACCTTTGTCATCCCTGTTGAGGGAACAGTACTCTCTGCTGCTATCTAGAAGTAAAAGAGGGATGAATAACCAGAAATAATGGAAGGAAAAAAGGCTCTAGTAGGTTTCTTGCAGCCTTTAGGGTAAGGCAGAGCCACCTTTACAGTAGGGGTCTGCTGTGTGCCTTGGAGGGTATACTCATGTTTAGAAATACTTGTCTGTCTGAGAATCTACAAATTCTTTACTGCAAAGTATGTCTAAGTGTGTATGCACTGGCATATATATTAAATGGTTGGCTTGCATAATAATAACGTGCAGTTAAAGGTTGCTTTGCACGTTATGTTTAAGCAAGGATTTAATAGAAGTTGGGTTCCTGGAAAAATAATGTTAGAAGAGCCTTTGCTATGGCACATGAATACAGAAGAAGTAGAGGGCGTCAGATATCCTGTAAGCTCCAGCCTCAGCCAGGTGAAGTTGGTCCCTAATGACTGCTGGAAGCCTTAGTTTATAAAGTGGAGAATAACTTATATCACGCACTCATTTACTTTTATGGCTGCTACAGCTATTCCAGTTACAATGCTCACTCAGTAATGTGCTGTTAATAAGCAAAAATGGTCTACTGCAATCCTGATAATGACAGGACAAATAGATTTGAAACCTGGGGACTTATATGTGGTTAATTGTTAATCTCCTGTTAGAAAGCAGAACAACTGGAGGCTGAAATGTGGAGTGTAAATTGAGGCTCAATACTAAGAAATAGTGACACGCAAGTAAAAAATTCTGAAGCATTAGGATTTTGCTCTAAATGGAAGAAAGGGCAGTTGCTGTTTTTAGCTTGTAAATGTTAGCATTGACACTGAAGTCCTGTTGTTAAAATTTTGTTACTAGGACATAGGTTTTCCACATCACTGCATCTCCTGCCTAAATTGCTAATGCATACTTTGCCCTTCAGCTATAGCTTAAAATGCAGCCGTCCTGAAGGGTCTTGTAGCAGGTTGATCATGTTATACAGATATTAACTTTGCCTATTAAAAATAATTCAGACCTGGTCAGAGCAGAAGTTTGCTGGGATAGCTTAAAAATATGGTCAGGTTGCTCAATTAGAAGGTCAAACAGTTTAACCATGTTGTAACAGATGTACTGTAATTGGGACTCTTAACAGTGCTGTGGTGTGACTGGGTACAAGGAGTGCCTGAGAATGCATTTAAAACTAGAATGTCTTGCTTCTGTGCCTTTCCCAGGCTACACTAGTAGTAAGGTTAGCCAATTCCTTTCCCCCGCCCCGTCTTTAAGATAATAGTATTATAAAAGGCCAATATACTTAATCTCAAAATCTGTTCGTATTTACTTTCCCACTTCTTTGGTGTAATGATGTCATGAATCGAACCTTGTTGCTGATTCATTTAGTGAGCATAGGTTTCAAAAGTAGCAAACATTTAGTAACCACGTTTGAGATTTTGACCCAAACTTCAAAAACAGCAGGACTGCATTTGACTTGAAGGAAACTGCCAATATTTCTGGAGATTGGGCAGGAAATGTCAAGTTATGCATCCAGATAGAATAGCTTTTTTTTACAGCCTTACCCCATTGCTGTTATGCTTTGCAATTTAAAACCTAAATGATTATGGAGTACATATGGTACTAACTGATAAATTGCTGTGCTCTGTGATAGTGGAAAAAAACAAACAAATGAAAAAACCCCGAAACAAATCTGTTGACTAAAGTAATCAGTAAGACACACTTGGTGTGTCTGCCTTGGTCACACCAAGATTATCCCACTTTCTTGTCAGTGACATTCTATTAGGTTGAAAGAAAATAAAAATTATTAGTGCAAGTCTAACAATAGAATGTACCTTATATTCATGTCATACTGATCTAAAATGTGTTTGTATCGGTACAGCTCGTGATGTCTTCCAGATCATAAGCGTAGCTATGCTTATGCTATACTGTGTACATATAATCATGAGCAGAAAAAGGAATGGCTGGCAAGAGCAGTGTTTGCAATGTACTAGTGAAGTTACACCTGGTGTACGGACCCCTGTCAAAGTCTAAATTTACTACTTTAAAATAGGAATGCTGCTTGTTTGAAGCCAAAATAACGTGAAACTTGGCATTTATTATAAGATATAAAGTTGTTGCATAAACAAAAAAAAATTCTATTACAATATGCAGATCACCCGTGGTATGTTTGGAGGAGTATGGTATTGTCCCAGAATCTGGAATGGGTTAGTCTGGAAGAATCATGCCAACTCAAATGATTCTGTACCAAAATAATTAATAATAATAATAAAAAATATTATTTACATTTCAAAACCATATTTTCCTTCAAAGCCATTTCAGAAGCTTTCCTTTCTTTAAATTGCAAACGAGTCAGCATCATTACAGGAAGGTTTCTGGCACAAACAGTATCAGGATCTGAGAAATGCTGTTAACATGATAAATGAACACTGCTAGTCTGTAATGTGATACAGGCTTGGCATTGTCCTTTGCTTTGTTTTATGCCATTAGTCAGAGAAAACATGATTTAGAGAATTAGATTTTAAAAACCACCAAGTGTCTTGCTGCAGAAATAGAACCCAGTGGATGTTTTACTGTGAATTCTTTTTAAGCAACACTTTCTCCTCTGACATCAACGTTATGCAGACTTCTTGTGTTCTTGCCTTACTTAGCCGTGAAGACTTCCAGCGGATTCCAGAGCTTGCCATCAATCCACTGGGAGACAGAATTATCAATGCCTTCTTTCCAGAAGGGTGAGTTCCAACAGACTGAATTTCTGAGCAGGCACAAAATTTGTAGTTCATCAGAAGTTTTGATAGGAGTGAAATGCTGATAAGTAAAGCACAGAACTTGAATTTACTAATAATTGAACATCTCAATCTTGTAATGACGTGTGTGGGTACATTGTTTCCTCAGCATGTTTTCATTCTGTAATGAGAAATACTTCACAAGCCTGACAAATTCAGGCTTCATGTCATGGTTTTCTACTCTTCTTGCGATGCTGCTGAACACTTCTAAAGAAAATCAAGGGCATGTATGGACTTCAGTTCTTAAAGCAAACTTGTAGCAATGCTATTTTATGCTAAGTAGTATTGCGATTAACTAATTTAGTCTTGTTTTCCACCTTTTAGCCTCTAAGTTTACCTTTGTTTTTAGATGCTTTTTTGTTTGTTTGTGGTTTTAGGTTTTGATTACATTTAAGACATAGCTTATGGCACTTCTAACATAAATCCAAAGAGATCATAAAATTTGCAGTACTGTCTCCATTATACCTCTCTAGATTGTTCTGTGGAATCTGCTGCTGTTCTTGAACACATTTGTCATTACTGACTGATGAAGATCGAATTGTCTAATCAAGTCATAGTATCAGCTAATACCAGGCAGGGTGTCCTGAATAGAGAGCAGGAGTCCTGGAAAGTACTTACACAGCTGGTTCCCACAGGAACTAGAGAAGAGAGCTATTTGTCAAAGCAGTGAGCAATGGCTGCCCCACAAGTAGGAGCCAAGGGTGACAGCAGAGCTGGCAGGGGCAACGTACTCGCTGACAAAGGGCACAGCACCTGAACAAGAAAAGCAAAGCAGGTCCAGTGACTGTTAGGTCAGCCAGCAGTCCAGTGGCTGCCAGACAAGTTGGCAGTGATGAAGGTAGTCTCAGGACAATCCAGGGAGTCGGGGTCTAAATCAGCAAGATGCATTGCCAGACTCGGGCATAGCTGCAGGATAGCTCAAGCAAGGGCCAACGGTGGCGGCTGGAGCTTAAATAGAGCTTGCAGGCAAGGGCAGGGGAGCCCTCAACAAGACTTCTCACAGCTTCTTTTTTTACACATCATGCAGCCTGGGATCACAGTGCAGTTACTTCATAACACAAAGTATCAGAGCTGGGTTTTAGCATAGGCAGCCAAACCCTGTGGAGGTGGGAGTGGAAGAGTCTGTGTGGTCTTGATGCATTAGACATTCATACTCTTCTTTACTGAAATAAAGAACCTGTATAAGCTATGTTAAAACTGACCTGCTGAAATGCTTATGCAGAGAGGACCAGGTGAATTTCCGTGGATTCATGAGGACACTAGCCCACTTCCGACCCATAGAAGATAACGAAAAGAGCAAAGACCAGAATGGGCCAGAACCACTGAACAGCCGAAGTAACAAGCTCCACTGTAAGAAATATGAACCTTCCTATAGAAGCAATTATTTTTCTTTCTTTGTTTTTCTGGGAATGGAGTGAAGGGACTTGGGGTCTTCCATACAGTTGTTCTGTGTGGAATGGTACCTCTAATACCTGCGTTTTTTTAAATTAACTTGCAAGCTTACCTGTTCAGAATGTCAACAATTGACCCATTCTTGTATTGGAATTTGGTGAAATTAGTTGAATCTTGAGTAAAGTATATGCTTTCCAAATGTCTCATAACAAAAATGTTTCTAAATGGTTTGCATCCCAAGTTATTTCAGATTTAGAAGCCACATCCCATACATGAACGAGCTTTTCTGCTTCTTTTTCCAGTCTTCCATATAATATAGTGCTTTTTCCTCACCTTCAGCTGAGTACTTGAGTATTTGGACATCTGCCTACAGTATATGAGCAGAATGCTCTTGCTTGCTAATCAAAGTTGGCAACGGTCCTCAGAGCACTTAAAATTTCTGTCGTATCCCATCCAGAATACAGGCAAAGAGAATGAATGGTAATGTAAAAATGGCTGGCTCTCAAGTTAAAGGATTGAATGTATCTTAGTGGTAATTATACTTCCATGACTGGGGGCTTGGGAGAAATACCTCTACAAGCAGAGTGCTTCTGAAAGTACTCATACTGAGTACTTAAGTAAGATTTTTCAATTCTTGAATAATGTTATTCCTGTATGCGGTAATAACACTTTATGGAATGGAGGATGAATTTTATGGTGAACTAAAATTGTAAGCTAACTCTCTTTAAAATAATTTATGAATACTTGCTATTATTGTTTTAGATAAATGTATTGTTATGAAGAAAAATAATGGCACTTGAATTAAACTGCTTATTCTTTTCTTCCCTGTAGTTGCTTTTCGGTTATATGATCTAGATAAAGATGACAAGATTTCCAGGGATGAGCTGCTTCAGGTAAATAGCACAGGGCTGCTTTGAATGACTCCATTGTGAGCCTCTCTGTGACTTCACACCCATTTAGAATGAAGACAGGAGTTACAACAGTCTTCTCAAAAGAACTCCTGAACGAATTTGGTGGCTAATTGCTTATCTCTGGTTTAAAGCTTTAGATGTGGTATGAGACTTTAATCTCATTTGGTAGCCTAGGCTGTTCTATCAGACTGGGAATGCTAGATTCAAATTTAAAGCAGAGCGTTAGGCTAAGCAGATCCTATTGGAAATTATACCTAAATACGCAACAAATACACTAAGCCCCTTAAGAACTAGCTTCTATAACTTTCAAAGGTGCTCCTAAGAGGACTTCACAGGGACAATCCTTGAGGTAGATTAGGTTGTTTGCCTGGTCCTCTGTGCATTCTTTCAATAAAATAAAACTACTTGAAATTGAAGCAAAGGTAATCAAAGTTCATCAGTGCTGCATATATATGAAACTAGGCTTGAGCTAGGAGTAATTACATACTACTAATCCTGGGAAGTAGACATGGCAATTTGTGGTTCCTGATGCAGGACAAGGATTTGCTTTTGACTGAAACTGTCCTATCTGCACAGAAAAGGCTTTACTAACTGTAGAGAGTAATGGTAGTTATTTTACCATATACTTACAAGATCCCTTTAGGCAACTATCTCAAACAGAAGATATTCAGTCAAATCTTGGTATGTTTTGTAGGAAAAAATAGACAAAAGCATTGGAACAAAACATACTCATTCCTAGTTCCAAAAGCTTTCTCATACTTCTTCCTGCTGCCTAGTGAAAAAGAAGGATTCTTTGTCAAAGGTGGCTACAAAAGAAAGCTGTCTTTCTTGAAAGCCTTGATGTACAAAGGACAAAAAGTCTAGAAATTACTTCCATGGAAGTCCTCCAGGGTTGTTCTTGTATGGTGTTATTTTGACAGTATACATGAGAAAAACAGCACTAAAACTACTTCTGTTTCCATGCCAATAATGCTTATTTTGTTATTTAAAAAAAATAATAATCTGGGGACTTCTGTATGTTACAGGTGTTACGGATGATGGTTGGTGTGAACATTTCAGATGAGCAGTTGGGCAGCATTGCTGACAGGACAATCCAGGAAGCTGATCAAGATGGAGATAGTGCCATCTCCTTTGCAGAGTTTGTAAAGGTTAGTAAACTACATTTTTAATGACTAAATAAAACTGCTCAGTGATGGGCAAGTCATTCAGACTTAGATGCAAATGGAAACAGAGGAAGTCGTTCAAGTAGTCCTGCCTGCATTTGGGCAAAGCAAGTCTTCTGCTAGCTCTTTTTCTTCCCTTTTTTATCAGGACTTTTTTTTAATACTGTCAGAGTGCTAATAATGAGTCCATATGTTTCTTCATACTCTTACATAAGCTACAGCATTGAATATACTGCAGAATTTTCACTTTTTTCTTTTGCAACCACTTCTTTCTACACAAGTAGCCTGACTAGCACATTTACAACAGAGTAATTCTTCTGCTATAATTGTGCTGATCAGTTTTCACCTATAGGATTTTATTTGTTAGTGACACAACTAATATCACTACTCAAGTTCTTGGCTGTAGTCCTTTGAATTACATCTTTTGTTAGTCAGAAATAGGTAACAGTAAGGAGCCATTATATAGTCAGTGGAAGAAGTTGTCCTATAGCAGAACAATTTCAACTACCTAATGGGATGATATTGATGAGAGGAACGAGACTCATCTTAGAGGTGGACGAAGACAGGACACGAGGCAACAGAAACAAGTTGCAACGTGGGAAATTCTGGTTAGCTATAAGGAAAACTTCCTGCCAAGAGGATGATCATAGTTGCTGAAGATGTAGAACCTCCTTCCTTGGAGATACTTAAAACTTATCTGGACAAGGCCCTGAGCAACCTGATCTAGCTGGCCCTGCTTTAAGTAGGAGTTGGGGGAGTTGGACTAAAAGACCTCCAGAGGTCTCTTCAAACTTAAATTACTCTTAATCTTGGAACACTGAAATCTACTGCCTGAAACAGCGTGGAGCAGACTAATGTCTTTGTACCTCAGTGTTAATAGCAATTCAGTGAATGAAGTTGTCACCCCAGTTTTACAATGATCTGCGTTAGTGATGCTGTGGTCTTGATTTTAGCTCTTCAGTGACTGCTCATGCCCCTTCCTCTACTCCATTCTCCCTTTTGTTTCCTGGCTGTGCATTCCTACCAATCTAATTTTAGGAATCCAAGCCTTTCTGGGCTGTTGGCAGACAAAAACTGCATTAGTTACATTTTGGTAGACAGCCTTCTTCCAGCTTTAATGGCTGAAGTTCCTTTCCTTGGAAGGACCTTAGTCCAGAATGAAAAATAGCAGTCTCTAGATGAAAGACTGGCGTGCCAAATTGAAGACATCCCATGTTCCTGCCCATTTCCTCTACACTAGAGTAAGAAACCTTGTAGGAGAGAAGTATGTACAGTAACTTAAGTAGCTGTTTCTGAATTTTATTGCAGGTTTTGGAGAAGGTGGATGTAGAGCAGAAAATGAGCATTCGATTTCTTCACTGATGGATGGAGAACCTATTCCTTTCTACCCCTGCTATATAATGAATAGAACTTCATTTTCTCCTTAGCACCTTGCCCCAGAGCATTGCTACTGGTGCATATACAATACATCTCCAACCCCTCCCTGATTTGTTCTACCAATGTGAACATTCCCTGTGCATCAGGAACAAAGGGAAATGGCTGCCATGCAACTTGGAAATGAGCGTGTTTGGTTTTTTTAAAACATTTTCCTTCTATTTTTTTTTTACCCTTTATCCCTTGTCTCCTTCTGCACTACTGTTTCAGCAGAAATGTCTCTCCTTATGTACTGCTGTTTAATCTACAAACTGATTCTTCTGAGCTCTGAATCTGAGAATGGAAAAATGGGAACACGCCACAGAAGCGCCCTCTGAAACACTTTGGAGACAAGCATCTACTCAAATACTAGGTGCAGTGATAATGATTCACTTTTGCTTCCAGCAGCAACACCACATTACAGCTGCCTTTTTTTTTTTCCCCATTTGGCTCTTTACATGCAGATTTGTTTCTTCACTGCTTCCAAATCTGTGTTTTACTTGAGGACTTCTCAATTTCTATGGCTTCATTGTACAACTAGCCCTGTATGCATGATGATAGCCTAGAGTACTTTAAAGTACTGTGAAAAGATTTTTATTCTCTGTGGGATGAATTCACAGGGGCAATAGGAGAATCTGTGGTGGAGACAGGCTGTGGTGTCCTCAAAAGGAATAGGAATTCTGCACTAAGTCACTTAAATTGTTCCAGTAGCAGATGCAGAAACTTGTTTCTTTCCTTTGAGTAGCTTGCAGGCTTGACAGCCAGTGGACCATGAAGTGCCCTCCCCAGGTTGCTTTGCTCTATGATCCCTCCTCTCATCAGGGTGGGTTTGCCTCTGAAAGTGTAAACTTGTTTACCAGTGTACATAATGCAAGAAAACCAGTCATGCCAAAATCTGGATTTGTAGTTTTGTCACTGTCCCCTGGTAATAGTGTCATGAAACATAGCACTGATTTCTTCCCCCTCCCCCCCAGTCATAGTGGCCTGGATAACCAGTAATTATTTGTATTTTCCAGTATGGAAGTCCTGGTCTGTTAGACTTGTGTTGAGATGGTAGCTGTATTTATCAAAGCTCTGGCATAAGAATATAATTTGGGGAAGTACATATTATCCCAAATATTTCAGAATATATTTCTACACAAATCTCTTTGCAAGTGTAAGACAATTAATACCATTAATATAATGCTGATAAATTCAAGAGATCAAAATTATTGAAGGTTCAATAGTAACATAATTTTCTGTGGCTAGATTGGCAAATGATCTCATCTAGTTCAGCTGGAGCATCCTACAGTCTAGGAGGTCTTTCCAATAAAACCAAAAAACCCTGGGAGCTTCTTTATTGAAGAATCAGTGTTATAACTGCTTCTCTATGTCACGTGTTAACATTTCTATAAATACTTACCAGTCTCAAACTACTCTCAAATTTGTATTTCCTTTTTTCTCAGTTCCTTTAATCATCGCTTGTGTTAAAGAATAACATGCAAATCTCTGAAGGATTTTTGATTTGTCTTAAATTAAGGAATTGCAAAGTGAAATGCTGCACTTCATTGTTTTGCAGAGTGCAGCACAATTCCAGAAAGAAATGTAAATTAAAAACCCCTATTCTGTATGAGAAAGAAACATAGTTTTATGACCATGTCATGTAAAATAGGAATGTAACAATGTTAACAGATTGGAAAGTAAAAAAAGTGTTTGTAGGCTTTGTGATTTGCTTAAAAGTAGATGTTGCTCTCTTCTGGCTCTATAGTTGTAACCTACAGTTGTGCCTTATTGTCCCAGTGAGACTGGATATTGTATTTATCAATCCATAAATAAACCTTCCACTGTATAAAGAAAACCAAAACCCCAGAACTATTCCTGTATGTTAATTGACTATCCTTTAATGGCTGGAGAAGTTAAATACCAGTAGAATGGTGCTAGCAGACCTTACAGATCGATTTCTTATAACTGAGCTTGTTTTCAGAGTATTAACAATCCTTTATTCTGCTGGTAGAGCGGAGGACACTACTGCAAAACGAGCTCTAGAAGAGGACATGCACTCATAATACTGCACTATGGATCATGTAACAACATGAGCTTTATACCTCTCTGTGGTTCTAAACTAGGCTTTTTTGTTTTGTTTGTTCCCCCCCCCAGTGGTGTAGCATTGTTCTAATCAAAGGGTGTATATAGTACCAGTGCTAGTTTGTGATGTCTGTCCTTATAAGCCCCCACCTTAGACATCAGGTATTTTTGCTAATGTGCTTTAAGGTGAACACAAATACTCTGATAGGTGCATAGCAAACCCCCCCTCCCCAACAAAGACCAACTAACCTTCCTGCAATAAACAAAAAAACCCCACAACTATCATAATCTAACTTTGCTATTAGCTGTATAAATCACATGGAAGCCACTGTGTATCTTATTCAGTGTTCTGAAATCTACATGTTTAACAAGTAACTTACAAAGGTTTAGACAGTTGGAGAAGGAGTTTTATAGAGCTGAGATCTTAAGTTTCTGTTAAAATTGCTCAAAACTAAGCTGTACAGATATAAGCAGATTTCCACAAAAGTAATATTTTTAGCATACCTGATTACCTGTAGAAATTATCTTAATTCATCTTGAGAACAAAGATCATCTGTGAAGGTTAAAGTCTGGAAGAGGGAAAGATTATCAGCTCAAAGGCAGAGCTACTTAATATTTCATCTTTGTCTTTTGAAAAAGCAGGCAGTATAAGGGATAGGTATTTAAATACAGATGAACCATTTTCCAGTCTAGTGGCAAATAGGAAGTAAAGTCTGTTTTGAGATCTGCAGACTCAGGTTTGTTATGCTGACAATCTCCGGATGGTTGGCTGCAGAAATCTATGGTTACAATTAGTTTTCATTAACTGTGAGAGTGCTATGAAGACTGCAGAAATAGGTTTGATAGCTAATCAATACTGAAAGGTGGCAAGTGAGTTGACTTCAATAGCTGTAGGCCCATTAGTTTGGCATCAAGTCTGGGCAAAGCAAACCGATCTGTATATACAGTATTTGACTCATGAAGAGCAGGAGTAAAAATAATGTTAGTTTCCATAACTTTACGATGGAAAATTACTTTCAAAGTCTGCTTTCAGCTCTTTGAAACTACAACTTTGTTTGTAAATAGTGTGTGGATATAAGGTTTAAGTTGGCAGAGGTGTTTCATTTAAGCATTAAAACACTACGTGGTAGAAAAGGGTGCACGAAATGGATTAAGGTTTCAACTGAAATGGCTCGTAGTAGTTGTCTGTGATGAATCACGCTTAAATGGGGGTGTTTCTCAAGAGTTTTCTGAATGGGTAAGTACTCCTCTTCACACTGTTCCATACATTCACCCGTCAGCTTGAAGTGTAACGTTACCGCTGCTAAAAAAAAAAAATAATAATTTTTGCAGATGACACAAAAACTGGCAGAATGAATAAAGGCAGGCAGTCAGAGCAATCCCGAGCACTCCCTAACGGCGGCCCGTGCAGGTTCACCCGGGATCTCAGGCAGGCAGCGGCCGCCGGCGGGGGGGACCCGTCGCTGCGCGGTGAAATGGAGGACGGGGGAGCGGCGGTCACGCCCTGGGGCTCCTCAGAGGAATCCCCGGCCGAGCGGGCCGTGCCTGTGAGGTACGAGCGACGGGGGGGGGACACGACACACGACCCGGAGCCCCCGTGAGGGGCCACACGGACCTGGAGCCGCTCCCCGCGCCGCGGGTGCCGGCCTGCACGGCGGGGTCGGGGCGCGCTGCCGCCAGCCCCGTAGCTGGAGGCGGGTGCTGGCGGGGCTGCCGGAACGGGTCCCCCGCGGCCCACTCTGACCCCTTCCCTCCTGGGACGGACGGACGGACTGCCAGGGCTGGGCCGGGGCACGTCGCCCCACGTGCGCCGGCTCCCCGGTGGTGCGGGGCC